GAATAGAAATTATATTAAGAAAACAGCCTAGAAAAAGGAAACACTTAACAATACTGAACTGTTTTAGTCTTGAAGTGGTTTCAGTGGCATAATGATATATTAAAAATAATATATTTAAGAATTTCAGAAAATAGCAGGAGTGAAAGGAACTATAGTGCTAAACACAGAAGAATACATTGTTATTCTCAAAATGCCATAATAACATTACTAAAATAGGATTAAAATTATTAATTCTTTTTTTCTTCAAGAAAAAATATTCAAAATTGACATTTCTTATCAAATCTCTGCATTTGGCAAGAACACCCTCTTCCAGTGGTAACTTCCAATTGTCATTTCTTTACCATTTTTCTCTGCAGTTGAAGAACACGCACACTGACTTCTACTGCAACATCAGGAGAGCTGACAAATATGTATTTGGTAGCCTCTGACATCAGTGCTGATTTAGTCTGTGACAACAGTGGTACTCTGAAGCCATGCAGTCTTCTGCATCTCACCTGTAATTTACTTTTTGCGTATTCATCTCTAAAAACCACTATTATAAAGACCACCAGCTGCACTACCCCACGAAAAAGTTAGTACAGGATAACCATATCATCCTTGTTTCTCCAGTTTTCCTTCCTTTAAACCAAGCAGCTGCCAAATCAGCAGCTCATGGATTTGGCTGGGAATGGAATCTCACACTTGAGGCAATGCATGCACACACACACACACGCTTGCACACGCTTTGCGTCTGAGCTGTAGTTTGTTCCTGGGGAGACACAGCCTCTGCAGTGCTGCATAAACAAATGCCATCTTCATTACCTCAAATGGCTCCATGTTACTGAAATGGAGCAAGCTGGGTGCACTGCAGGAGGCTCGGAAGTGAGCAAAAAGCGTTTGAAGAGTTTCAGCACAGCCTGCCGGGAAGCTCTGAAAATACACAAGGGCGTCCCCAAGGAGTCTGTGGAGCACTGACCTGTGCAGGCTCTGACTCCCAGCTGACTGCCAGGCAAGGTCAGGCTATCGGGGGGGGTTCATCACCAAAAGCAAAAATTTGAATCTGAGTGCTGAAACTGATCCAAAATAAACTTCCTTTTATTTTTCCCTCCTTCAGACAGTCACACTTATAGCTACATTAGCAATGCCTGCCATGGCACTAAACAGATGTGGGATTGAAGAGACACTCAGCTGTAAGTAGGTCTATGTCTATTCCTCTGAAAAAGATTTATTACCTTAATTTTAGAAAGTTTAGTAGCATTACGCATTGCTGATGCCGACAATCCTGAGTCTGAGGAAATAACTATTTAAAGCTAAAACTATTTAAAGATATATTTTATTATCACTTGTAGTAAACATCCTTCCTAAATAATTTTTTATCACTAGAAAAAAGATCTTTGAGCATCAACTTGCACTGTACTTTTGTAGTCATGTTTCTTTCTTTTGCATTGAAAAGACAGATTGACTTAGGCTTTTGTATAAAACTATTCTCTGTTGCTGTACCTTTCAAATAATTGTATTATATTTTTCAGAAGAGGTTTTTCTGAAGCAGACCTAATGTACATAGAAATGTTCTGTATTCTGTAATTGAAACTTCCTTTTTTTCTGTTGTAGTTCTCCCTAGTCCAAAACCAGCACACTGGTCCTTGGCAAACAGTTGCTTTACATATGGAAAAATAGCTGTGGTAGAGCTGTGCAGAACCCTCAGGGAATTTCTGATTTTCTTTTAGAGGCAATCTGTAGTATGTACCATGTCAAAAAATCCCTGGGCCTTTACAAAAGCAAGATGCCTTGTCAAAGAGATAAGCATTGGTGTTGGAGAGTTTTTGTGAGGAATGTTAAATAAAAGATACAACTTCTTGCTTAATGAAACACCTGTCTGGAGCCACCACTCACTTTACTTTCTTTACTAGCTCACACAAACAGCTCACAATGGTAGTGTTTTTCTTCCCTTTGTAACTTAGATTCAGCACTTTCTGTGGCTCAGAGCCACTACCCAGCACAGTTTGTGCCTCTCATACCAGATTTCACCTTGATTTCCTGTCTTGAAGCAAAGCCCAGAGCTTTGCCTGCCTCGCCCCCCCAGCAGCCCTCCTGCACAGGAGGTGTCCTCAGGGTAACTGGGAGCAGAGGGCTGGGACAGGTGGGGACTCTCCAGGCCTGTCCAGACCTTTGGCTCCTGCGTGTGGCCACCAGCTCCCCCAGCCCATCCACTGAGAGCAAGGGGCAGAATGCCCTCCCTTTCCCAGTGGGAATGAGCTCAGTGCCACTGGAGCATGTGCCCTGGCAGCACCAGCTGGCTCAGAAGTGGAGAGGCTGAGTTCATGGACGCGGTCTGCACGCGTGTGTGGGAAAGGGGCAGGCACAAACGCTCCCTGCAGGAGCACAAATCCAGCCCTGGGAGCTGGGGTGTGGGAGAGCAGCAGGCTTCTGCCACCTCCCAGAACCCCAGCTGCCAGGGCTCTGTGTGCTGGCCCTGTTTTTTGTTGCATCATAAGGTACAGCCTCTGAGAAGGTTTTACTGTAACTGCCTTGTTCATTACATGAGAAACAGGAAAAAACTGAACAAAAGCAAACACTCACAGTCCACTCCTCACTGCAGTTACCTGACTGATCAGATTCTTGTGTAGACTCTGGGGTCCTTCCTCTCCCCTATCTTCCCACATGGGATTCCACTAACACAGCACTGTAATTTTTGCATACCCACCGTTACGTCAGCATCTACTCAGAAAATTGTGGGAGAAATCCAATCCCTCTGGTCATATAAGCACTTGATTACCTTCATTTGTTGCTCAATGTCCTCTCTCTGTTCATCTGTTGCTTAGTTGTTTTTATCCTGGACTTCAGATTCTAAACCACTTTCCAAGGGTGATTTTCTCAGCTGGAGGCAGTGGTTAGCATGTTTTTCTGTGGTTTAGCTGTACTTGATGAGATAAACATTTTTCATCTTACTTTGAGACTGTTTCTCAACTTTCGGGCTGTGCAAGTGTGCTACACTGTCATTCTCTCTGACAGAGCCAAAGTAGTTCCTAGCAAAGCTTTCTAGCTTGGGCTTCGTGTCTCACCTGTAAAATGTTTCACCATCTTCCTGGGGAACATGAGATCAATCCTACAAGTGAATAAACCAAGTGACTGTGGAGCATCCAGCCTAAGGATGCTTCTAGAAGCTCTGTGTCACCACCTCATGGACGTTTGGAAAACAAAGGGCAATAGAGAAGGCAGAAAATCATCCCTGGCACACACATGGAGAGTTCCTGGAAGCAATCAGAACTTCTAAACTGTGCTAAGACAGGCTCCTTCAATCATTGCACTGGAATTTAATGAGGTTTAATTCTACAATATGTTCTTGAATTTGAAAATGATTAAAAGCCAAGAGCTAAGTTTTCCTCCTTGTGACTGTAAGGAACTTTACTGCAAAAGTGGTTCACACTAGGCACATGAGGGCAGTTTCAGTGTAATGCTCCATTTTTCTAATAATAAAGACATGCATGGAGGAAAATTTAACAGAGTTAAGGACTTGTCTTTTGAAGTACATGCACAAATCAAGAATTAACTTGGCATTTTTCTCTTCTAAAAATACCAGCAAACAAACATTGAAGTCATTCTAGAAAATAATTAAATCAAAATCACAAAAGGTTTTCACAGCCTAGGTGTTGCCGGAGCTTAAAAAACATAGGAACCTTTTTTCAAGGAACTGAAGTATATGATTGCCCTCAGATTTAACACAAGAAAAGTTTGGTGTAATTTTTGATTTGGGAAACATTTTCAGTTGTTTTTAAAAGTGTGACTAGTCTCTGTCTCCACAGCCTTACATTAGACAGCAGCACTCACATCTTTGTTTTGCTACCTGAGAGCCTTTACCGTTGGCAGATCTTAAATGAAGGAAGATAAATTATTTGTTCTCTGACATGGAATGAACACCAGTGAACCAATCTGCATCCAAGGGTCTTTATACTTTTGGTCTTCAAGGTATGCTAAATTTGCAATTATGTTTTTAGTTCCTCTAAAACTAGCCAACAGATTTTGGGCCTACAATATCTTTTAGATTATCTTCCCATGTAGTCCCTAGAGCTTTCCCTCCACACATGCCCCCTTCAGCTTTGTTAAGTTTATCACCTAACACAACTCCTTGCTGAAAAGGGAGTTCAGCTGACAGCCAAGGGGAATCCTCCTGCTCTGTGTCTGCTTGCTGCCACTTTCTGAAGCAAGACTGCCAGCAAGCACTTGTCTGAGCTGATAATTGTGAATGATGTATTTGATCTAGGTTAACAACACAATTAAATTAGGGTTTTAACCAAGTGTGACTGTACGTGTTGTTTAGACAGCTCTCTAAGTGTTTTCAATTATGCTTTGTAATGAGAAATTAGGAATAAGCAGTGATTAACTTGGAGCACTGGATCTGTTGCATGACTGTTCCTTTCATGGCTTCAAGCAAAATAAAATTAAGCCTCTTTCCTCTGTTCTGAGAGAGAGACATGACACTTACCTGGGTATACACAGAGTTTTAGAAGAATTAAATGATGTGTTTTCCTATTGACATTTGTAAATGTTATCCATTTATGGGACAGCACAAGATTTTATACATTGAAAAGTAAATGATCATTTTGCATAGTACTAGAGAATGAAATAATTTTCATCTTGTAAGCTATTAATTATATTTTTTTATTTGTTCTGAAAACAGTAGGCTAAAATTTGGCAAGAAATAGTAAAAATATGAAAATGTAACATACAAAACATCATTATGAAAAAAAAAATATCCTGTACCAATTAAAATCTACAAGTTTTGAGGAAAGTTATCAAAGTATTTTCAAATTCTGAAAAGAGGTTGGAGGCATTCGTGGTCCTTTAAATAAAAATAAGCATAAGAAATAGATGTGCAAGCACTCAGTATTTTAAGTTCTAAGAATAAACAGGATGTGTTTTCCACCAGAACTGTTGCAATGATTCAAATGCCGATCTCCAAACTCCTATTGATCAGGTTAATATATGTGTGGAGCAATAACGACACCTTGAGGACAGCTAGAAAAATGCAAAAAAATTATATTCTGCATTGATATGGGAGGATTTACACACCCTTTTTAAGGCTGAATTCCTTGGAATTACCACGTGATGTAAATTATAAGCTCTTAAAACTCTTTGGCAAAGTCCCACAGGTCCCAAAAGTATTATTAATGCTCTCATTAGTCCTGAAATACTCGAATATATGCTTACCAATAGGTTCACTTACTTGCTATTAGTTTTGAGGACAGACCTGTTCTTGCAACACAATAATCTTGTTCTGAGGTTCTTTTTATCTTTTTACAGAAATAAAAAATTTTGCTTTGCACTGTTCAGCGTAGTATTACATCGTACATGATTTTAAAAGAAAAAGTATAAAAATAGTCAAGGTTTCTGGAGAAGTATTAAATGCAAATCTACACAAAAATAAAATTCCACAGTTCTTTGTCACTCTCTACAAGTTTCAAGTATTCCTTTAAATTTGTACCTTTCAAAAACTGAAATAACTGAACATTTTCAAAAAAAAAAGAAAGTGGGAAGAGGAAGAAATCTTATACCTCTCATTTCGCTTAAGACTTTTTGCATTTGAAAAAGCACTTTTTCTTAATCTAGCTCTAAGTTAAGAACTGCACCTGTGGGGCCATTTGTAGAGCTTTCTGTTCCCTTAGTGCTATCTGCAGCCTTAGAATCATCACATATTTCATGTGGCTCAGTTTCTTCTGGTTGTGATGGGGAAAGATCAGTTGTGATCAAATCAGCCTCCTGATCTGATTTTCCTACTTCACTGCAAAATTCAACTTCATCTTCCTGCTGGCTGTTCTTCTTTATTTGTCCATTCTGTGCAGGGTAGGTACTGGCAATGGTGTCATACAGAAATTGGTATTGTTCCTCAAAAATAAAGAGAATAAGTTAGCATTAATGGAATGCTCAGAGTCCAAGAATTCATCCATTCTTTTTTGGTTCTATTACATTTTAGACATGTAGCATGTAACTGGACAAGCAAGACTACATATGAAGCAGCTTCCACAGTTTTTGGCATAGAGACTGTTGCTCCTATGCTTTATTCTGACTTCATGTGTACATAACATCTCTGAAACTGTCTGCATCAAATATTCCAAGTTGTCACTCAGTGCCCTCCTGATTCATAAAGTACCAAAAATACAGTTTTTACAGTACCTAAACAACATGTGTTGTACTGAGTCTGGAAAGTCATGTAATAACCTGCCTGTATTAATGATACCAAGGTCTGGTTTGTTGGTAACTGCACAGTGTGTGCCACAGCTCCTCTGGAATGACTGAAACAGACAGTGGCTGCCAGCCTGCAAATGGAATTCATCTCCCAGCTGCAGAAGGGACACTGCATGTACATCATGAACCAACTGCAGGAACATCAATTTATTTAATTTGTAATTTCAAACTATACACCCATTGCCAAAGGCAGTACAGAACTACAGCTCTGAACATCTCAGACTCCATTAATATCAGCAAGGGCTAATGCTCAAATGATGGTGAGTGTAAATGTTCTGATCAGAATCAGAAATTACACCCAAGATTATGGGGATATTAGTGACCATTATAAGAAATCTCTCTCTTTTCTGTTAATTCATAAGATTTACTTACAAAGGTGGAGACCATTCCTAGCCTGGTGCGACGAAGAGATTTTACTACTTGGAAAACATCTATTACTTCTTCTATTTCTGCACTTTCCAAAAGGGTCATTAAAGCACAAAATACACCAGTCTGCTGTGATCCATCACTAGAATGACACAAAATGTACATGTAAATTTACTAAGTAAAATCAGAAACCTTCTGACTAAATATTAGATATATTTTAAAGTCTTTATGCTGAATTGTATTTCCAAATCATTTTTTTACTGGACTGAAATTGTCACAAATAAGTATATGTGTAGGATTCACACAGGATATAGTTTATCTAAAGACTACCTGGACCTGAAGTACCACTTAAGGGGAAGAGGGAAATTCAAAACTTCAGACACACAGTCTCAATTATTGTTAGCAGGATTATCTTCCGGTTTAGATGGCACACAAGGCTATTCCTGGAAATGGTCCTAGAAAAGTACACTTGTATCCTGGAGTGAAAGATGATCCTAAAAACTCTACTGGATGTTCACTAGTGCATCCTGCAAGTCAACTTTGACCTAGCATTTCCCCACAAAATGGGTGCACCAGCCAAGAGCAGCTGCTCTTAGTATCTGCTCTGTGCCCACACTTGCCCAAGAGAAGTGCACTTGCTTTTCATCACTACAATCCAAAAGGCCAAGCTTGAGCAATTCAAGGAATCTTCTAAGGAGAGTTGAGTCTCCAGACACATGGAAAGGCTTGTGAGAAAAGGTAGGTATCCCAAAATTATAGTTGCTATGTATACCCAGAACTTAGAGCTAGGTGAATGTGTGTGCTGAATTCAGACCCACCAGCAGTGGACAAGGAGTGGGACACTGCGGGTTCTCCTGTTGTCCTCAGTCACTGGTCTGGCTGGAAGTTTTTGTTTAATGTTGAGAATCATGCTGACTAAATCTTTGGGGGATTCTGGAACATCACAGCCACTCCACTTATGGTACTGATATTGATACACCTTCTGAGTTTCTTTTGCCTGGAAAATAGCAGCAGAGATATGGTTAATGTTCAGGATAAAATACAGATTCACACAGTAACTCTGTTGCTGCTGATTTACAAAGGAAGAATATTCCTGAGGAACTCCAGGGTAATAGTTCTACCTCATGAATATGAGGTAGGTAGACATCCAAGCTTTGTTCAAAGTACAGAAGACAGCTGATCTCCTGAGATTCCCCTACCACCATCTCAGGAACTCACTATTTCTAAATAGAAAACTTGTGATAATTTATAGCATTTCTCATGATTGACTGCTGGTCTGGAAGAGAAAAATATTTCTGTTTCTTAGAGCGGGAGGTAACTGCAGTGGGAACTGTTTCTCCTCTTTCTTGACGCTAAACTTATAAATTTGTTTCTAAATTTAAAAACTCACTGAAAACCACTTTTTGGACTTTGCAAAGAAACTTTTACCTTCAGATGTGTAACGTCAAATGCACGTATGGTATAGCTAGGACCAGAGTTGACATCTGCCATTTGAACTTCTATGCCATCATACATTTGCTTTCCTTCTACCCAGTACTGTGCACAGAGTTCCTAAAACGGATAAAAGTACAAGTCAGTGGTTACCACTCAAATCTCCTTTTATTTTGCCTTCCACGTGCACTTAGAGACTGTACTAACTTTAAAGTGGGAGGAGTTCCATTGTATTTTTAAAATATAGCATCATACATTTTTCCCTCAAAAATTCATTAGAAAGTAAATTAAGTAGGTAAACGATAGTGCAAAATATGTTGGAAATGCAAATTCCTCATCCTATGGAAAACACTTAAGTGGAGCAAGGAAATGAAAGAGTGCAGTGCAGTGTTTTGTTTGCATGTAGAGAATATTCAATGTGTTAATGTGCAGACAATGCCCCCACCTGATCTCCTTCCTTCAGCTCTGTCAACATAACAATGACTTTGACTTTTCTTTGGAGCACCATTTGCCAGAAGTCAGAGATAGTTTCCTGCAGTGGTCCCTGTGTTGCAATCATGGCTTTTGGACCCCAGTAACCCTATAAAAGAAATATTTTTTTTCCTCAATTTGTTTGAAATGTGATTGTCAAACAATAGAACTCATCATTTAAGGAATACCCTGTGAAATAAATTAATGAACCTGTTTGTTTATAGGGAAAATGTGCCTATCACAGTAGGCATCAGTCTTACAGGAATTCTAATACCCAAGTAACATTAACTAAGTCTTCCTAAGAAGAATATCACTTCAGACTGACAACAAGATATGTTGATGCTGCAGTAGGTGAGACCTCACCCTGCCATTTTTTAAATATCATATTTTTAAGGGGTTAAACATTCCATTTTACATGGCCATTCAATTTTACCACTAAGAAATTGTGTTTATACCGCACAAAGTTGGTGCACCAGTCATTTCACACTGAACTTCCTAAAAATACAGATACATTTACCCTGAATAGGTATCCTAAATGTGCAGCATTTCAAAGGATTCAGATAAATGGAACTTAGCTAGTAATTCCATTGACATCAGTTACTTCATTTGTGACCAATAAATGTTCTTCTTTGGATATACAATGATACCAAAAAATTTTTGGCTCAAATTTTCACTGGTAGGGTTTGGTCCATTGAATAACTTTAGTCACATTTCATTAAAAGGGACAATATTAATGTGGTTCAACCTGTAGACAGATGCCCAGTAATGGAAATATATGTTATAATGAGGCTGGTCTGAAGGCTAATGGTTTCAAACGTAGATGGATTTGCCAATCAGCCGTCATATCCTTCTCCTTTATTCAACTAAATTCTTTTCTATTGTGATACCAACAAGAGAATAAGAGTTTTAGCTGAAAGCTTATGAAATGCCTATAAGTGGATCTTCTAAATACATACAGTTATGAAGGAAGCATTGATGTATTTGTTGGATTCCTCACAGTCGCTGTCCTCATCCGAGGACTCGTCTGAATCATGTTCACCCTCCTTACTGCAATCTTCTTCATGCCTGATGGGCACTCGGTTAAAGTCATCTGTGTGAGACAAAGTGTCACTGTCACAGCACACAGCCCCTGGATGTGGCATATTTGGAGGCGGGGGAGAAATAGAAAAGGCCAGTCCTTTCACAATAGACTGCAGAACCAAGGCCACCTTGCTTGAAATAAACAGTCCCAATAATTCACATTGGTAAAAACTCTTTTTTTTTTTTAAATCACTATAAGAAATTTAGAATTTTACAGCGTTGAGAACACCAATCAAATAGTACTGTGTAAGGTGATTTGCTCATTTTTTCAAATTTTTTCTAATAGAAGAAAACAGATATAATAAGGGGAGGTGGGATAAAATAAGGCAATGGAAAATACTTACAAGGAATTACGTTGGCATTCCTATTTTTGCTTTTATTTTCCTCCCGATTCCCAGTGTTCTGCGTCCGCCATCCCTTATAGGAAGGCAATCGCTGAAGAAAGAAGATGTTTGATATTATGCTTGATTAAAATGGTTCTTAAGATCATTGTCTCCTCAGGACTCACTCTCACTCTTCATCTTGCACTTCTCTCACTACTTCAGTTCTCTAAACTTTGGTAACATCTGTACTACTGTTTAAAAATGCCTGCTACATCATGTACAATGGCACAGAAAATCATGAACACAGACACAAGTAACCATTCTGCGAACTCCAACTTTCTTAAAAATATTAAGGCCAAAGCAGAAATAAAACTTCATTAGTATGCAGCTTTTTCTCAGGAAGGTAAAGAAACCTTCTGTGCCAGAGAAATAAAATAGCACCTAAATGATCTGTTAACTGTGGTATCTCTAGCTCATGAGTATTGTGCAAGGCATTTTTCAGCAGAAGTGCGAAGAGCAACCGGAATGCAAAGCTTATTTACCTGGAACTCTGCATCCAGCAGAGAAGGCTCACTCGGGTGGTCTTTCCTTTTCAGATTGTTAAGGGAGGAATGCAGTTCTGAGAGACTGATCTCTGTTTCTCCATACTGATTGTATTCCACCAGTGCTTGATGAATAAGGATGTACTGTGACTGGTGTTTCCCATTTGAAGAGTTTAAACATAAAGTTATTAAAGAGTAAAAAAAAAATCACTTTTTAAAATCATTATAAAAAACTATTGTTTTTTATATATGTTTTTATTGTTTATTGTTTTTATTTAAACTGTGATAATATCATCAGTGTTAATAATATTAAGCATTAACAATAAATAGATATTAAATACAAGTGTTAAACTGTAAAATGCTGAAATAAGTTAAAAACATACAATTCATCAGTCCATAAGTTGTACTCAACTCATATGAAAATTGCATTTAGGCAGATTCATTTTGGAATGTTTAAAATTGAGTTTTACTCTGCAAGCTCAATTTTGCGTTTATGAATTGCATGTCAAAAATCTGTTCTCCTTGGCTCCCTCCTCTAAAGTCTGAACTTAAAATGCTGAAGTTGTTAAAATACAAAAACTATGTTGGAAGCCTTTTTTCCCTCAGTAATTTTCAGAGCTATATTTTCTATGAACAGCTTCAACTGAATTGAGCAATTCACTTGAGAAATACTGCTGAAGCCCTAGTAAAGGAGAGTTGTGACAGGAGTTTCAGGGAGATACCTCTACTTGGACCATGAGGCATCGCTGCCGACGCAGTTTCACGATGTAGCCATAAACATCCACTCTGCCTTCTGCATCCAGCCCCTCCAGCATGGCATCAATTCCTATGTACGTCCCAGTGCGCCCAACGCCAGCACTGCCAGCCACAAAGGCATTCGGTTATTGACAGGCAATGGCACCTCCCACTCCCTCTCTGAGGAGAGCAGGCCTTGACAGGGTAAAACTGAAAAAGTCTAACAGGATTCAAAGGAACTGAAAACACTTCTTGTTGTAAATTAATTAGCAACTCAAACAATGACGAGTTTGCATTTTTAGTATCTTTCAGTGAAAGCAAGGCAATCATTGCCAAATACAGTGCTTAAAGCCAAAGCAGCCCAACATTGATCTGGCTGTCTTTCAAAAGTCTGTATCCTCAGGTTTTATCAACATGAATTTCCTTTATATCCTTCAGAAAACAGGCCTTGTTTATCTTTTGCTGACTCATTTTCAAGTGTTCAAGTCACATAATCACAAACACTTTTGCCCAGTCCCTTTTCTGAATAGCTTCATTCAGTCATTTAACATTATCAAATTTTTAAAAGAATATATATTTACCTGCAATGAACTACAATTGGACCACTAAAAAAGTTGCTGAGAGCGTTAACTCTGCGTCGGAGTTTGAGAAGGAGATGTGGATCTTCAGGGACTCCATGGTCTGGCCAGCTTGTGAACTGGATATGAGTGACATCTCTTCCAGCTGTCTTTTCTCTTCCCTAGAAAAAGTGAAGTGTTGTTTTTAATATATATCAATCTATATACACATTGGTATATGTATACAGATGTATATGTTAGTCTAAGTGACTAGATTAAAGCCCAAAGAACAAAGAGTCGTTAGTGGCCTTTGGTATGTTGCTGCTAGACTGAAAGAGAGGACATAAATTTTGATAACCATGATTATAAAGCCAAATGAGAAAAAAACGCTCAAAGGGATTCTTTTACTGGCCATGATTTATATGGCTGTACAGGCATTTTTCTACTAATTAACCTCAAAGTTCAGTTGTGGCAGAGCTATTCATACAGTTATTTGCCATTGTTTCAGTAGTTATACACCACTGTTCTACCAGAACTGCACTTTTCTTGCAATCTCCACTTTCTTGCCATGGACCACTCTTCAATTCCAAAACCAATATTCATTTTATCTTTATTGATATGATGTCAGCTGAACAAAGAGCAGACAGTTCTAAAAATATCAGTCCTCAACCTGCTGCAAATCACTCATTTCTAATGTCAGATTCCTCAAGTGACAGAACAATTTCTTTGTAAATAGTTAATCTTAACATCCTGATCTGCTCACTGACCACACAAAGTTACAGTTTTCTTTTATTCAGATCACTTCCTGAGTAAACTTTAATGATATGAGACAGCAGAATAGGAATTCTATTTCCCGCAGAAGTAGAATTTCCAGCAGAATAGGAATTGCCAGCTGTAATCACGAATCAAGAAGGGCAGATTCTGTTGCTTTGCTGAAGATCTGCTAGCAGATTTACTCTTTTAGTCTGAATGCTTTTAGCTATTATTTAGACTCCTTTTATCATGATTGAAATACTTTTGCAAAGGGCCTGAGCTGAGCATTTAGCCTTTGATGACAAATTTTGTACTCAATTACACATAGGGCAACTAAAGTGACTTCAGATTCATGAAATAGAACAATTAACCAGCCTTAATGACTTTACACATATCTAAATGGTGATTTTAAAACACTTATATTTATAAACACACTTGAGATTGCCAGAATTTGTAATTGTCCCACTGTACAATTATCAGAAGTGTAGATAATGGTTATCTATTAGTCACACGGATTTCAGTTGCAGAGGGTCATGCTGAGATACACACAAAGCAGCAAATTCTTTGTGTTAAAGAACAAACTAAATATATAAGGAAATTGCAGTGTATATATTAATTTTTTACCACTTAGCAGCATATTAATAGTCTTGTCTTAAATGTAGGTTCCAGAGGACTAAGGAAAAATACCTTTTGCAGTTGGGAAATATATATATGTAACTCATATTTCTTGCAAGAAATTACACCTACATCTAAGTTTTCCCTTAAGCTATATGATGCTTAGGAAAAACAGCAGAGAATCTTCCATTGAGAGCTGTCTCTTCCCTTTTAAAACACAGACTCCAAACACACACTCTAGTTCCAGTCAATCTCAGACTTTTGAATCAACTTACATTTGTGATGTGCAGTTTCTGAATGATGTAATCTGGACACGTTTTACTTTCATAGATCTTCACAATGATGTCCCCATATGTTGCGGTTCCATTCTCCATTGATGGCCAGTACTGGGCACATTTGTTCTATAAAAAGATGAAGTTAAATAAGCAGCCCAACAGTGGAGTGGCAGAGAACTGAGAGCTAGAAAAAAGCCTATTTTGAAGTAGATGGCAACTCAGTATAGCTTTTCCAACTTTCCATTTCCAAATATCCAACAACTCAGGTCTCTGACCTGAAATTTATGGCCATGGAATTTAACTTCAGATGTATAGTAGGGAAAAAAAAATCCTGTACATTAGTCAAAACAATGAAGACTGACTGCTGCAGTTGCTGATGGCTGGAGAAATGTTTGCAGCTACTTCCATGCCTTCTTTTTCAGTCTTCAATGAGGGCTGCTGTTCCTGCCTATATATCAGCTTGGGTGTGCTGTAAATCTGCAAGCTGTCAACATCTTTAACTGCAACTACAACAGCAGCTCCCCTTCTTCCTGCTGACTTTGTGATGCTTGTATCCCCAGCTGCTTTGTTTATGTTAGATATTAAGTTCTGCACCTCTAAGACTGGCTGTGAGAGCGGTGTGGGGGAAGGAGAAGCTGCAGTTTGTGTTCAGAAACAGGCCTCACTCCCCTGCATGCTGCCCCGGACTGCGCTGTCTGCAGCACGGACAGACAGCGGGACACAGCTTTCCTTGGTTGGTAGTTAGTTTTTAGCTAGCTGAGGCAGAGAAGCTCCCCAGACTATTTTTCCCTTGGATCTGTTCAAACCTGCTCTGGACAGAAAATCCAAACAAACCCCAGGAGCTCACGCCTGCGGCCCGTTGGGGCCTGGGCCTTGGCACTTTCTGGCGCTGGAGGGACTGATAAGAGACTGGGCAAGCTGAGCAACATCACATGAAAAGGACTTTTCTGGATTTTCCATCTCATCCAACAGTGAGAGGTTTTATTGTTTAATATTATTCAATTTCTGTTAAATAAACAGTTTATCCACTTTTCTAAAAGGAAATCTTTTTCCTGAACCAGGGGAGGGTCTGTTTGAATTTGCTTTCTGGAGGGACCCCTTCAGAGGTTCTCTCCCAAATTTGCTCTAAACCAGGACACTGGAATAAGGAACAAAAGCAGGCCAGAAAGCACCCAACCTTCCACTTAAATAAAGGCAACAGAGGAAAGATATTCTTTCTTGTTGGGGTTGATGAAAACTTTGACTTAAGACTGTGGGAAAAATCCCATTAGTCATGGAGAGTAAAATATTACCCACATTTCCCCTTGGCAATTGACATTATTATGTTAATGTTACTAGAAAGTTCTTTGTTTACCCTGTTGTTATTGGTTTACATTTGTCAAAGTTATTTGCATAAACTTCACTCCTGGTTGATACTTTCCCTCAGACTCCACCCCTAATTTAGTTTATATAAATTATCTTAAGCCCCTGGATCTTTCCTTTGTTGTGCACCGCGTACCTTGTTCGCGTTCTCACTTGCTGTAGCAGTTTGTTATTTTCTCCTTATTAAAGTGCTTTTGCTTTGGGTCACGAGATCATGCCCACTTGTCATTTTATCTCACTGCCTAAGGGATCTTCTCCCTGACATCCTGAGGTAGCACCCGTTGTCTACTCCAGGTCCAGGCTGCTACACTTTCTCAGATCTACTGAGGACACTGCCAGGATATCAAAATAGATAAGAAAAAAACCAGAAACCATACCTTTTCTGACAGGTCTATGAAGAGCTACAGTTCTACCTTGAGCCCTTTTCTGGATTAATTAGCTGTAATTTGGAAGCTCACCCTCTGCTACTTACTGATGCGACTAAAGTGATATTTTCTGGTAAGACTGGTAATTCATAAGGCAACACTGTTTTAGCATGCTTTCCAACACAAGTACTGCCACAATGAGAGAACAACAAAGAATGAAAAAAAATGTATTTAAGAAGAATATGTAATTCAGCACTGTACAGTAATCCACTTGGTTTTCTGAAAAAAAAAGGATGGAAAGGTAGAAGGAGGGAAGGATTGATATTTCTCACCCTCTTTCCTTCCTCACAGCGAGTCACCATGACAATAATCGTTGCCTTCTCTTCCCAGATCATTCTCCAGAAATCATCTGTGGTTTCATCCTTTGGGCCTAGAAGGAGATAATTTTAGGGACTTTTTCAGATCGCAGCCACATGAAAAAACACCTGCTTGACATACTTAGCCACGCAATCTGAAGAGCTAACCAGAGATCATGCAAGTAATAGCCACATACTTGATTTCATTATGGTTGCTGTCATTAGGCTACAGCATTTTAAAACTCTCTTCTGTATCTTTAGTGCATAGCTATGAAATCCGAAAACTTCTGTTGTAAAATTATACAACGTGAGAGATCTGCCTTTGAAGTTCAATTTATTGTCACAAAATTCCCTAAGCAAAAACTCATTGACAACTTCGTCATGTTACATTTCAAAATGTCAGATTTTCATTTTTCCTTTAAGCTTACTAATAGGATTTTACTGCTCTAACAAAAATAGGTTAATAAAGAAAGCATATTCTTTTAAGATTATAGAGTACCTTGTGCAGCAATGTATTTTCTTGGTTCCTTGAAACCCTGTAAAAAGTACATTGTTATCAACTTTTAGAAAGAAAGCATGAACAATCAAAAAGATTTGCAACTTTAAAAACAAATTCAATATGCAACAATCAATAATACCAAATACATTACAAAGGTAAAAACAATGGAAGTCCTCCAAGGTGTTGATGCTTTAAATGCACAGACTACAGAATTTCTTCTATAATGTCTAAGACTTTTTAAGTAAAAGCCACTCACATCAATATAACTTGCATTGATATAGTCTGATCCTGGATCTCCTGGCATCTCAGAGAGCTCAACACGGTTATGGTCATCTGTTTAAATCATTTAAACCAAAACAATTATATTATCTCAAGGCAGTTAGAAATCAAGCATATATAAAACATGTCAAAATTATTACAAATACTCACATGGAAGAATATCAATGTAACGGTTTTTGTTCTGATTATGGCTCTTTTTGGCCTCCTTTATAGAAAATTTACTGAAAACTCTAGGAATACTCTGTAAAATACAAAATTTATCTTATTAGCTAAGCCTAGATTTAAAACAGCTTTTACAGTCAAATGAATATGGAAATAATTAGGCATTACTGAATCTGGAAGGTAACACTGTACTTCATAAGATATTACTTCATATATTTCTTACATCTAAAATTTAAAAAATTCTTCTTAATATAAGAATATATTCTATTATATAATATATAAATTATATATTAGAATATTATATATATTATATTCTTAATATATCTCCACAATTACATATTATTTATATCCCCATGGCTATGCACTAAGACAAAGTTTAAAAATATGTATTAAAAGGTACTTTAGGATGAGAGGTATTGACTGCATACTTTATACTTTTGCTGACGAACACCTTCAGGAAAAAAAATAAGTTTAGTCTTGGAATAGGGAGAGATTGATAGCAAAATTAACTGAGGACTATTTGACCTTAGATGAGAATTCACTCAATTTTCTAGATTGTTTATTTTTTATTTATTTATAACTAGTACACATACTTCAAACTTGGTGGAATTCTTCCAACCACCTGGATAAAAACCTGTGGTATATTTTGAGTGAAAGGCAAACCTGAAATTCTTCCAAGAAGAGCCTTCCTTCATCTGCAATTTTCCTCTTGTATGTGTCCAGCAATAGCTCTGAAGGTATTGGCTCTATGTTGAGAAGTTGCTTGTCATCATCTTTAACTGTGTAAATAAGTCAAATGTTTATTATTACTGATGTTGAAATTGTACATTACACTTCAGTAAATGTGATTCTAAAACTGACAGATAAATTAACGAAAGAACTAAACTCTTTCTTTTAACTTGGTGTATTTATTTTTATAAAAATGGTGTTGCCTGAGCCAGCTGTGAGCAAATGGGCTGTGGGAATAAGAGATCTTTTCCAGCTCTGGAGACACCTCTGGAGGAGGCCACATGCAGGCACACTACATTAATACTTTTGCACAACGTGGTGAGTCTCATATTCAGGCACAGCAAGTGCCTCAACAGCCACCACAGTCACACAGCCTTGCCTTCTGCTTCAGTTCTGGTCAGTTGTTGTCAGTGATTAAAATATAACAACGTGTATCGCCTTACTTTCCAGGTTTTCTCCAATTTATGCTCTGAGTTGCAGTAATCTGCAACATCATATTGAATTATAAAATAACAATTGAACAAGTTTTAACACCTCTTATTAGACATATATTAATTTTTCATTTACATTGAAAAGTTGTACTTTTCAATAACCATGTACCTAAGCAAATGGATTTGAATTTCAACACAGTCGTACTTCCCATTTAATGTAGCTAGCTTCTGTGAATTTTAATGTTGTAAATTTTTTTCTTGAAGCTTTCTGATATTGACTGATTCTGTCTTTCTTCACAGGTTTTGAAATCCTGTGCAAAAAGGTGCACAAAATTTTCAGTCTTTGGGATTTGAAAGCCTTCAAAATTTTTCAGTAAAAAACAACTGGCTAATGTTCAGTCTCTTGTTTTGGAAAAAGGTCTACAGAAAAGGAAAATTTTATTTTAAACTGGATTTTATTCTGGACATATTCTCAATGTTAAACATATCATAAACATTGTCTGGGAAAACTAACTATAACTATAATAAATAATTTTTCAAACACTGATGAACTTTCAGTTCACTTAAGCATAAATACTCCTTCTATATATTTACTGAAGTATTTTTGCCCTCCAAATAAGGTGTGATCACATCGATATCTGCAATCTGTGTATGCAAAAACAAATAAAAAATAACCCAAAGGTGGTAGCAAGACTTGAGACTATTTCTTAAATGGAAATAAATATAAATTGCTAAATAGATACTCACCTGCAACAAGGTTCACGCCTTCAGAAGAATTGCTGTAAGAAGCAGAAGCAGCTGTAAATGCTTTGACTAATAAGATACAGATATATATGTTAAGATATATTTGTGTGTGTGCATGTGTGTGTATGTGTGTGTATATATATATATATTTAAGTTAAATAAAATCAGTTTTTTTATGACAACAGCAGGGCTGTTTTTAGCCAGCATCCTGCATTGCAAGCTGTCTGTGAAAGAGTGCTACACCTGGGATTATGCTCCTGCCCCGAAGCAGAGAAACAAGGCAGCCACATCAAAAAGCTTTAGTGCCTGTGTGATTTTGCCCACCTCACCTACAACAAATGAATATTTCATTTCTTTACTGGAGTGACTGCTCACACCATCTTTTCTTCTCTTGCTAGTCAAAGAAAACTAACACATAGATAAAATATAATATGTTCAAATGCTAAATAGCCAAGAACAAGTCAGGCTGTCTGGAGCATGTACAAGCAAAAAATAGTTTGGCTTCCCTAAACAAGAGCAGCTCCCTGTCCCCCTAAGGGGAAGAGTAGGCTGAAGGAGTCACCAAGCTCTGTTGTTGCCAGAGGGCTGAGAAGTTTCAGAGGAAATTGCTGCTGTGTCTCCCTGCAGGGAGTGCCCCCTCAGGCTGTGGCACAGCAGGCATCAGAAAGGCAATGGCCATTCCTCTGTTGCCATCCTCTGTCCTACAGAACTGCTGAGCCATTGAGAGATTACTGTAATAAGCAACACCTCCCTGACATATTGTTTAGGGTGAACAAACATTTGAAAGTGTTTCATTTCCAAGAAAGTGTGGATTATTTTCATTACTTTTGATTTAAATCATGAAGGAAATTTTTTTCCATATATTTCTGATATTTTTATTTTTTTTTTAACTAGGGATAAGTAATTTTGTTCTGTGCCTTGGGCATGGGTAGAGCAGAGAGATTTTAAATCTATTTCATTATATTTGTTTTGTTAGATAAATTCCAAAAAAGTGGTTTCTTTTAAAAAGACTTAAAGGTAAAAGGATATCTTTTCCCAGAATTAATGCAACATCAAACTTGTAACATTTTGCCACTACCCACTGTGAAATCTTGTGGAAAAACCAAAATCTGTCCCCATCCCCCTTTCCATTTATGTAAGAGAGACTTACCTAAGCTTTTTTTTGTGAAGATCATAGATTTTGTACAGAACCAGTAGTAAAGCAATTACAGTCACAATGATCAAGAATGCCAAAAATATAATCAAGGCTCTAGAATTATCTAACAACAGAAAAATAATACATTTATTATTTTAAAATTACTTTATAAAAAAGAAACCTGTATACTCTCTGGAACCAGGGCTTATCAATTTTTGGTTTGGGGTCTTTTCTGAGAAAAAACTAAACAGGTTTGAGTTTGCTATGCCAAAGTAGAGGAGGGAATTTTATGTTTTCATTAAAAAAATCTTTCCCTTAAATTCTTCATGTCCACCTGTCAAAAAAAAACCATTGCTACAACTCAGTGGTTCAGCATTACTGTGTTTGTATCTTGCTATGTGTGATCTGTACAGTGCAGATCTCAGCTGCTCCTAATCTGGGAATTGGGAACCTCTGCTAAGTCACAGATGTTCAGCTCCTGAAATGCACGATCTGAACACAAGAAAATAATCCTAAAGTGAATAATGTCAGTTAGAGAAATTAATTTCTTGTTGCATTTGAATGTTTCCTGAAGAAAGCACAGCTGTGTTATAATTCTGAATTATGATTAGTGACTTGGCAACATGGTCTGTTACATTAATACTGAATAGGGATATATTTCAAATGCAGATCAAATATAGAAATATAACTATAAAACAGGAAGTTTGGGGTTTTAATTAGGAGCAATTTAACTGAATTCACAATTTACATTATTTATATTATGCTAAAATCTTAAGGTAAAAATGCTCTAAATATTTACTTACATCTGGTTTTTATACTCCCCATTACTGCTGTCCCATTATGTTCTCCATTAAACACGAAGATCTGCATGCAGTGGGTGACAATAACAGAGATGTTCAGATATGACAAGTAAAAATTTCTGCATACAATTCTTAAAAAACAAAGCACAATGGATTTTTGAAATTCATTAATCTATTGACAACACCATGACAGCATGACACCATGAAAATCTCTGTATTGATATTGATAGTGCAGCTCAGGTCTCTACCCAAGTTACAGCAAGATCTGGATTCAAAAATATGGAGATGACAGAAAAAATAATTTAGAAAAATCGGGAACACACTTTACAAAATAAAAATCAGATGTATCTCAAAGTAAAATCTATTTTCTCTTTCATTATGCCTCTCAAATCAGAAAAAATAACCATGCAATATATAAAAATCCCATTTGCTGCAACAGTAAATATAAAAATAGTTGACTGAATTTCATGTTTTTAATACAAATTTATGTATGGATAAGTAATTCATAAAAGTTTAATTAAATAAGGTGTTTCTTGCATCATTATTCACTTTTGATGGTACTTTAAATGGTGTTAAAACACTTTGTTTTGCTGTGTTTATGTTTTGTCATATATTTAATATTTATTCAATTTTTTGAATTTCCGTAATAGAAATTTGTATCAAATCTAAAAGACAGCTTGCAGTCAAATATTTCACACTGTGCTTTTTTTTCCCTTTTGAGTCTTCTATAACTTGACCAGAGTCCTTTCATTACCAGCTGAGCCCATAAGGCTTTCTGTGGTTTTTGGGTAAGAATTAAGCAAAATAAGTGCAAAGCAGTGCCCAGGATTTAGAGGTGCAGAAGCAAATTCCTTCTGCAGAGAAAACTGCTCACTGGAAGTGGTGGAAAAAACCTTAAATGGCACAGAGGCCCTGTGCTACAATACAAGAATCTTTTGCTCCTACGACCTTATCTTTATTTTTCAAATATAAAGTTCTCTGAGCAGAATCTGTTGGGAAAATACTGACAAAATATTGAAATGAAACAGACTACACAAGTTCTCTGATACTGCATTTCTTCTGTAAAAACAGAGAAGGAGGAAAAGGCTGCAGGGAATAAGCAAAACTGCTTCCTAAAAGTAGTAAAACTCCATCACTCCTACTGGTTACCTTCTTGCCTAAACTTTACTGAGAGGAACTATCAGGATGTAAAAAAATATTCCTACTGGCAATATTAAAGGAATCACACAGACCATTGGTTTTGTAGGCAACCCCAAAAGTGTGAAATGCCTGACAGAAATGTTTGAAGGAAGCCTCCAGGAAAGTGAAGCATGTAAACAGAGAATAATATCATTTGTATGGACACAAGGACTGGGTTTGTAAGAGGCTGATGTGAGGACATGCAAAAGGATCTGAACTGCTTTACACCAATTAGTCCCTGAAGAGCCAAAAATCTTCATTCATTGAGCAGAATCTATTTTAAAAACTAAAACATCAGTCATAGTCAAGAAACTATTTTAATCTTATAGAAACCCCAAACTTCTCTCTGAGCCAAGTACAAACACTCTATTCTGCTTGCATTTTTCTTACTGTTAGAACCTATGTGGAATAGCATGCCAGGGGTAGCTTGATAGGCTGGGCATATATTGCATTTTAGTTCCAAAATAATAATTAATTTTTCACACCTGAGGCCTAAAGATTATAAATTGACTCTTCTGCCACCATATTTGCCCTTTTTTTTCCTAAAATAAAGCATAATATACTTAAACAATGAGAATGCAGCAATATTTTATGTATTTTAACACAATAAGCTAACTTACCTTAAATGTATAATTTGTCAGGTACAAGAGATTTTCTCTTTTAAATTCACATTTGTCTTTGCTTTCAGTTTTTCCGTCATTCTCCCAAATCAATTTAAATTCTGCACGTGGTCCAAACTCTTTTTGTTTTTTGCAAGTAATCTGTACAGCATTATCAGCTGTCAATGTTTTTTTAACATCAGTCACTTTTTGTGGTACTGTAGACAAGAAAAAGAGTTACTTGCTCTATTCTAATCATTTCAAACCCAGCATTTCAAGCTGTATGTGCTCATGTCTGTTTCCTGTCTTCTCTCAATAACTTCATCTATTTTCTTCCTTAAACATTTCAGTCCCAATTTTACAAGATAAGTAAAATCAATTTTGCCTTAATCATAGGCTTATCTAAGGTGGAAAAGATGTGAAGTGGAACTGAAAAGGCTCTACTGACAGTCAGATTGCAAAAATAGTATGATGGCAAATCTCTCTTACATCTGACATCACTTTCTCATTTGAGAAACATGGGACAACAGACAAGAGAGAAGAAAAAAGAGTTCTCCATGTGAATATTGATTTCAAAACTATTGTAAATTAAGTTTTCTCCCAGGAAAACTAGGACTAGTATATTCTAATATTTGGAACAGTGTCCTTACAATTAAGTCTGGCCTAAAGCCATAAAAACTTTTTAATGATACAGAATTTGTTAAGTCTAATCTGTGATTTCAAACTCTAGTTTTGTATGCTGCAGCAAATGTTGCAGGTTTCAGACTGAGGGGTACAGCCAAGGGACCTTTCACTGAGAGATGATAAAACCTTTCAAAAAGTGAATGAGGCAGCCTATGTAAGGCAGCCTCATTCCAATAGCCTCCTTTCAGTAGCCAAACCCCAACAGCCACATTTCAGTAGAACACCACCATGGAAATTTTCTACCAAATCATGTCAACTTGCAAAACAGCATATTGGAAAAAAACAAAAAAAACCCAAAAAACCCCACAAAAAAACCAAGCAGCTTCTTTTTCTTTATATGAGGAGCTAAGACCTGTAAGGCTTTATAAGCAGATGAAATATCCCATGTGAGGAGTGGTGGGATATTTGACTTGGCTGAGTGTGCCAATATCATAGCTGATCATTTTTACCCACAGGGCAGATCTGTTAGACTCATATTCCACATGTTGCTTAAAGAGATGTGACAAGGAGAAAGTGAACATTTCTGGAGGCAATGTGTTTGTTGAAGATGAAAACACCTTTTATAAAATGTAGGGGTTTTCCTACTTCCAAGGACTTGTGTTCTACCGATACATTCTTCAGTTCAAGAAGCCATAAAACTCCTCCACTTCCTGCTTGACTTGTTGTCAACTGTCGTGGCAGTTGGAGAAGGTCTAATTAATACTATTAACTCATGACATAACTCATTATTTTCTCAAAAAATAAGGGAAATTAGGTTGTTTGCACATCCGTAAACTTATATTATAGGCTTTAATCTTCACCTGAATTGTTAAAATGAGTGGAACCCAGAAAGTCAGGGGTTCAAAAGATAATATGCTACAACTAGATTTTTTAGAGAAAAGAACCATGATCATGCTCATATATTAGGGCTGCCTAAAATTAAAGCCACATTTAAATTTGTATTACCATTAAGTCTCAGATCAACCTATTTATCAGTAAATTAATTTATCCGCTTTTTTTATATTTTGTGGGGCTTTGGGTGCCAATTCTGATCCCTGTATACTTCAAACAAAAAGAGGCACAGACCTTTCTGTCAGCAGAAGGGCTGGCACACATTTTTTCATCTTTAACCTAATGTTGGAAGCTGTGTACAGGTACAGCCAAGCTAACTGGCACCCATTAGAGATGGACAGTGTTGGTGTTGCCTGGGTCTGTTTCAAGCAAACAGGTAACTACACAACAGAAAGTACAGGTTGTACATCTTTGTAGCTTTCATGTCACAAAGAAAAAAACTTTTTTTATTCTCTTTTTGTTTCATTCAAATTTTTTCTTTATATTGGGACATAATGCTTCCTAAAAACTTTACAAGAATTTCAAATTAGTGAAATCCTATTTTTAAAATTTTATATATATCTAAGAAAAATACTAATACAAAGTGAATAATTAAAAAATAGATCAACATTAAGTAATTTTAAATGGGACACTAATGAAATAAATGTCAGTACAATTATTTTAATGTCAATCAGTTTCTTGACTAATAGTAATACCATGTATAAAATATAATGAACTACAGTAGGAAAGTACAAATTATTTGTGTTAGTATCAGCCTAGTTCATAACAGTTAGTAAACAGATTTACCTCCTGCTTTTGTTGTAAATTCATGGCTTTCACTGCTACCTTCAACTCTGAAACCCTGTTTGTTGATTGTATATGGAGTCACAGTTACAGAAGCTGTGGTATAAGGTTCAAATCCGTTGAAAGTATAGTGAGTTGTGTTGATATCTGTGTTATGAACCACTGAAAAATGAAATTAATGAAATTAATGAAATCTATGTTCAGAGCACAGGAGCTCTTACACTTTACTAGACTTTACTAGACTACCTGAAACCACTGTCATGTGTATTTCTGTTTTAATTACCTTAATCTGGTTCATTTGCTGTGCTAACTAATTCTAAGTGAAGGCTCAGGAAGAGGAGGAAATACCTAAATACAGAGAGAGTATTTACACATAAAGAGTATATTCAGCCTGGGAAGAGGTAAGTAGGAAGGCATCACTGCACACTGAGCAAGTCTATCCTGGTGTGATGCCAGAGATGATGTGGAAGTCCTACTTTCAGGAGCAGCAAACAGCAGAAGAAAGGAATTGCATGAGAAGTGGCATGAGCAAAGCTACTTCCCAAACTGCAGCTGGACTTCAGTGGCTTGTGGAGCAGGGGAGCCATGGCCTTTCCATCTGTCCTTCTGCCTGCTTGCCATCCTCCCTGCACTCACACATTACTACCTCCATCTCCTACATCGGCCAAGCCAAACCAACAACAGAAAATGGCTCATGGGGCTGCCACCCTTTTGGGTTTTGGGCAAGTTTCGGGCATGGAGAATGGGAGAGATTATCTGTATCAGAGGAGCACAGGAGTATGACAGTCTTTGGTTCCTGTGGCAACCCAGGTATACATAACCTTCAGTATGTGAACAGAAAGGCTGAATTAAGCCTAAAGGATGAATCAAGCCAGGACTAGCTTAGACCTGATACATATTTATTATTATGAGGCTCTTTATATAAGGACTCATTTTCCAATCCTTGTTTTGAAGAAAAGCTTGCATCTGGAGAACATGATCCCAGTACAATGTATATAAATTTATTCTTTGAAATGTAAGGTGACCTAGACCAGCATATCTGAAAGGAGTGGCCATTTAGCAGAAGACATTGGCTATACCTATCTGAACATGTTTATGCCTAACTGCCTTATGTTCATGCCAACTGAAGGGTGACAGGGTCATGTCCTGAAATGGTAAACTGAATAATTTCAACTGAAAGTTCAACTGGAACAGCCTTAAAGGAAGGAAATTTTAACATTTGTCTGAAAAAAATTGCAGTGTTACAAGATTCCAATAGGACTTGACAGTGTATTATGCTTGGTGCTCTGTAATTATATACATGCAATTAATTATTTAACAGTAAATATACTTACTTTTGCCTTTCACAATGAACTCCACAGAGTAGCCATGTATAGGACCCTTCGAAGTGTCCTCAGGTTCTGTCCATGTAACTGTTACACTTGTGGTATTTTTATGTGTTACTTGAAGATTATGTGGTGCTTCTGGAGCTATTGTAAAAGAAAAATAACTATAATTAACAATGAATAAAGAAAAAGTATTCCTCTTTTTACCTACTTTGATTAATTAACTAAATTTCATCTGACACTAAAGCAAGATACCAACAATATATAATATTTTTTGTACTCTATTTCAAGAAAGCATACATAAGTATAAATTGAGTATGTGTAAAAGAATCGTATTACAGTAATTTCATACATTTAATTAATTCAGGAGAAGGTGAATACAGCAACATCATATTTTACTAAAATTGTCCAGTGTCTTCAAATCAAGAATTTAAGACTTGTTTCAGACTAAGTCTGCGCTTTTTTTGTGTGTGTGCCTTCATTCAAAATTCCATATAGTTGACCATATATGTTCTCAGTCTCCAAAACAACAACAAAAAGTAATCACAGTCTCTGACAGAAGGAAAGAAAGGCGCATATTGGAAGACTGAAGGGGTGACTGCAATCAAAGTACAGCCAGGAGGGCAGGAGACAAGGAAGGAGGAGCTGAAGGAGAAGCTGAGCGTGGCAGAGAATGCTGCTCAAAGTGTATCTTTAACCCCAGCAAACCGAGATAATGGGTTTCATAGTAGGGGTTCCCAGAAATCTGTGCAATCTAAAGCAAAAGTAAGCATTACACTTACCACCATAGTCTGTAAGTATGGTGAAGCTTTGGTTGGCAACATTCTTTTCAGTAAAATATATGGATCCAATGCAGTGGTACTGATGGTTTGGTGATAAATCTTCCATCATTTCACAAATTTGGTTTTCATGTTTTGAGTGTGTAGACTGTGAATCTGTAGACACAACAGCTTCATCAATATTTTTCACAACTTCAAAAGTATGTGGCACCATTTTAACCGAGATTTGCTCTACCATATATATTTGGTATAATTTGTAATAAACCACCATACTATTCCAAACAGAAAAATGTACAGCCTGACCCAGCGACTAGATTTTAAGTTCTTACTAATTTAGTTTGCATAAATCTTTACTTTTCATCAGTAAAGGTCATGATTTGACTTTCTAAAGAAACAGCTTTCCTACAAAAATCAGAACATGTCATGGGGAGTCTGGCAGAACCCTGGAATAGCTCTTCAGATCCTGGCTCTTCAGCTCCCTGAAGCAGGAAATCTCCAGCCCCAGACATTCATCACACATTTTTCTGGGGCATGTGAGGCCATTCAGCATCCATATCTGCCCTATCACACTTTTGAGCCAGCATGTCCTCAGGCTGGCTGGCTCCCAGAGCAGAGAGCCCAGCCTTGCACATCCAGGAGCCTGCACAGCCAGCGGCCAAGGCAGCCTGCAAGGGGTCAGCTCACAGCACACCCACCGACTGCAGCATTTCCAAACTTCCCAGCTCCCCTTCAGAAAATCAAACAGGACTTCAAAACCTCCAGAAGTTGTGCAACTTGTGAAGTTGGTAAACTGAGCAAAAGAGGTCTCTGAGTTTGAACTTTCCCAGACCCACACTGTTTGGGGATAGTACTCGTCCAACTGGCAATCCCAGGAATTCTGAGCTACCCTTCCCTCAGACTGGCACAATTAATTTAAATCTGCCAGTCTCTCACCAAAAAACATCATCAGCAATGCTTTTAAAGATCTTTAAATAAATAACCCACTTCCAGAATACTTTAGAGGTGATATCCCATTGCAGGTAACAGTCACATTAGCACAGTCAAGTGAGCTATTCCAGCATAACAGGGCAAATGTGGCGGTTTTGACCTTGACTTCTAGAGGTTCATTCGCAACTGGAAAGGAAGAATATTATACATCATTGTAACATTGGCTATATTGAGTCTTTAAATAACTGTTTATGTTTTTGACTTGTCTTGCAATATGAAGATACAATCAGTATAGAATAACATACAAAGAAATTAATATGAAATGGAAAGAAAAATTGAGAAAGCCTTCATGAGACAAAGACACACAAATATTCAAATAATAAAGCATTAGTCCAACATTCAGCATAAACAGCAGCTTTGAAGTAGTAGCTGTTATTACTATTGTTTAACACACTGCGTATGGTATATGGCCAATGCAGTTAATGTTCTCTTTTTGCTCTAAAATTAAAAAAACTATGGTTGGTTTACATTATTCTTTAAGAAAATACTGAGAAGTTTTAATGTGCAACTTCAAAATAGCTTGCAAACCATGGACAAAATAAAAAAACTTTCTGTCTGATCCTCTGAAAAGCAGCAAGAATAGACAAAGAAACCTGAGGAAGCTGAATTACTGATATTAAAAAAAAAAAAATAAAAAGATAAGAAAGAAACTACTAAAACCCTTGTACACCTACCTTTTGGAATGAGAAAAGAATCATTGTCTGAACATCTGCCATTTTTTACTTGAACAGTATATATCTGGCATTTCGGAAGCTCTACTGAACGGTTGCTGGAACTCACATTTATTTTTATGCCATTCCCCAAAATAAAATATTCTCTGTCTTTTGTGTCAATTTTTAGTAAAACTTCAGCATTTTTTGAGTTGTTCTTACTGTCTCTTACGTCTCCAATAATATCTAAAAGAAAAGACACTGTAAATGGAGGTGAAAAGACCAGAATTGTTAAATAACTTTAATCTTACTTCTTCCAGAACTGGAAGACATTTTATAAAATAACCCAAGATGCTAATGGATCAGTTCTATTTTTTTACTATTTTATCAGCTTTACCAATTTTCTGTATTTCAGTTTACTATTTGGTCTCATTTCAAGACTGAAGGAGAATAAGGGGTTTGTTTCTTACCACAAGTTGCTTCAGGTATCACTGTGGTAGTTTCTATAAGAAAAGAAAACAGTATGAAGGTCTGTCTTAACAGGTTGGGTATTTTTTCCACAGAGCATTAGAGAAGGGTGACCAGTACTGCCCCAAACTCTTTGTTCAATATATTCAATAGAAGCAAATGTATTTAGCACTCCTCTTACATTTGAAATAAGGAAGAAAATATCAACTACACATAACCCCATTCTTTAGCTAGTTATTTCAGGGATAACGTGTCTTTCACAATTTTTCCAATTACATAATGAACTAGAAACAAACTGGTTATTAGTAACATTTCTGTGCACAAAGTTACACAAGAATATTCCAAAATCACACATTCTCACAGCAGTGTGATTAACTACAGCAGTTTTCCAGGATATGTATGCTGTGGAATGGGTAACTGAGCAGTATAAAATGTCACCAAAGAAACAAAATCTACCTGCTTTTTGCACTGCCATTCTTACCTTTGGAAAAAGATTTATACAACAGTATGGATCATTTAATGACTACTTTTACACCAGGATATCCAAAAGAAATTTTTGCTGGTATGTTTTGTACAGAAGCTTAAGCAAAAAACTTCATCCTGAAAACAGTTACTTAATATAGCCCAAGGTAAAGGTGTCAGTAAAACACACAGGTATCTTTTCATAGAAGGTAGACCCTAGATTTGCCTGCCTGCAGGCTGGGAGTGACCTGGCTGGATAGTGGCCCTAAGGAGAGGGAAAACTGAGAGGGACCACTGCAGAGTCACCAAGTTTGTTAAGGGCAGAACACCCACTAGTGAAAGCTAAGCTCAGTTTGTCAAAGAGCAGACAGCAGCCTACAGCTACTCAAAGGACACTTCAAAAAGATGGAAAGCATCCAGTTCCTGCATGTACTTTGCACAAGCACATACATGTATTTTATTGACCTGAGCGATTCCTTACAGCACAATGGCAACTAAAATCACTGTTTAGTGCTTCAACTACTAGATCCCAAGTAAGTATTATTGCTGTGTGAAACCAAAGGGGAGACACTGAAAGATAGAGAGGCACACAGATCTTGGATGTATTCACACCTTTTTGCTGCTTGGTAAAATTTCTGTGAATAACAAGAGGAGTACTGACACAATAATTGACAGATTTAGATTTACCCTACTACTATGTGCCACTGTGTGGAAATAATTTCTGCTTTGCACTTGCTTGACAAACAACAAATCTGGTATCTTTAATATTACGCATAAACAGTAAGGTTCCTAAAAACAAGATTAAGTTTAATGCAGTTGTATGCCTAATTTGTATGCTTAGATTTGATTCTAAATGAACTGCCTCATTCAAACCCATTTTCTGTCTGATGTATCAGAACTGTGGTAGCTGGGTGCAAGTTTGTCACCTATTGTGTGAGTGGAGCTGAAAGTGGGGCTGATCCCAGTGCTTGCTGGCATGCTGACTGATGAGGTGGTGCTGTGCAAGGATGTTGAATAGTAACCATCTGTAAGAAAATAAACAATATATCAGCATTAAAAAGTGAAATTAATTCTTTCATATGGCTTTGTCGTCAGAAATGTCTTACACTACAGCACTTCTCTGATTTTGTTTTTTTTTCTTAGGGGATTTCTGTAATTTAGAGAAGAATGCTGAAAGAAAAGTCATATTAATATAGTAAATAAACAAAAAAAATAGTATTTAAGTAGAAAGTAAATTTTTAGGAGTATACCACTTACAAATTAATTTTGCAATGTACAATGACCAATTTTTTGGTCATTATTTAGTCATAATTCCAGATGAAGTCAACATAAAAATAGTGTTACAATTTGTGGGAAAAGCTAGAACATTTTGCTACATTCTTACAGTAAAACACAATTATGAATAATGCTTGTGCTGTTTCACAAACAACAACTCTAGGTCGTGCTCATTTGCCAGATCACATATCTTGCTCACTATATTTCTTACCATATCTCATTATTTACCTCCCTGTTTATATACCACTGACAGGTTTTTATACTCTCTTTTAGGTTCATTCCTATTGCTCTTGCTTTGGGGACAGCCTTGTTGGCAGCAGCTGGCATTTTGATGCTACTGTGGTGACTGCAAGACTCGTCCCTGAGATAGCAGACCTGGCCCTCAAACAGCAGGTCCTGCACATGATGCTGGCATTGCCACTGTGCCAAAGCACAGACACCGCTTCCATTCGATGAACCATGAGTAGAAAAAGGCTACCCTGGTGCTGAATGTCTGTTTTCCCCTAGAGTTTTGAGAGCAGAAGATGACTTGTAGAGGAGGACAGCAAACCTGCTGTAGCATTTCCGGAGGGAGTGCGTGCGGTGAGGGCAGCGGAGCTGCTGGTGCGTGCTGAGCTGCTCGGTGCCGGGCTGGGGCTGGGCTCTGTGTGCGTGGAGAAGTGCGTGCTGTTTGCGAGGGTGGCACCTGTGGTGAGAGGTACAGCAGGGTCAGTGATGCTCCATTAATGTGTGCCCGGCCCAGGAGGGACAGGGCTGCCCACAACAACAGGATGCAGTGCTGGAGCACTCTCGTACTGAGACACTGGGAATTTTTAACAAAGTAAAGGCACATCAAACATTTAAAGTGTGGGTGATTCAACAGCTGTCAGATGAACAACCAGTGAGTATATTCTTTTTTGGTTACGATTGTGCCTTTCATGCTAAATGCTGTGTTTTAAAATATACCTAAATACATTACTCAAAACCAGACTTGCCTGATACTCCTGCCTATTAAGACAGTATATTTCATTTTGTTGGGTGAATGAAAAGGCATTATACACTCTGTGAGGTAATTGTGTGTGAGGAAAAAAACCAAAACAATAAATTGTCAGGGGAAAAAAAAATCAAGGCAGTTATGCCATGTGAATTTTTTCTTACCAGGTGTGATCGTTGTTGTCTCCTGTCCTGAAAAAGAGAAAGAGAGAGAAAAAGTGTAACTTAAACTTTCAAGAAATTTGCCAAAAATTATAAAAAACCACATTCATTCTTCCCAAAATCAGCCAGACTTTCCCCAGGAAATTACACATTCTTAAATTATATTAAGTGGATGTAGCAACAACCAGACCTCCAAAATATCAAGTATACAGTCACAGAATCACAGAATCACAGAATCACAGAATCACAGAATCACAGAATCACAGAATCACAGAATCACAGAATGGTCTTGGTTAGAGAGGATCTTAAAGATCATCAAGTTCAAACACCCCTTCCATGGGCAGGGATGCCACCCAGCAGATCAGTCTGCTCAGGGCCCCGTCCAACAAACTTCTATTCACCTGTTTGGCTCTTCCTTCCTCCTCCTTTTGCTCTTTTTCTACCAGATCTGTCCCACTATGTTTGTTTCTTGGAATTTATTTATCTCCTTTTTTTGTGGCGCTTGTTTTTCAGATAGTACTTCCATGTTTATAATTTCTCTGTTATTTCAGCTTCCCTATGTGGCACTTCACAACTGCTGTAGTTTTAGTCTTTTGAAAATAGACTCCTTCAACCTTTAAAGTAAAAAGTCAGGTTTATGTGAGAAACTGCAATACTTGAGAGGTACATAAGTATCCTGTTCATGTGTCAGCATCAAAACTTTGTCCATCATCTCTGACACAGAAGATCAACATAAGCAGATATCCCGGGACTCCAGAGATTTTTCTCCTTATCAACCTGACAAGCAGCAGCACACATGTTGGCTGCTCAGTGGCCATCATAGATTCAGCACCCCATATGGACAGTTCAGAAGGCTGACAACAGCCATTAAAAACACACAACCAGTGATGACAATGTCACCTGCAGGGAGTGAGGATTTCTTGGTGCTCAGAACTGTCATGAAGGGTGTCTAAGCCATGATATGAATATGAATGTATGTGGGAACTGACAGTGGTCAAATAAGATTTTTAGGCTTCAGGCACTAGCTTGAGCCTGTGGGAAAGTCAAGTACACAACTTTCTCACTCTGGCCTGGGAAATCGTAAGGAGGAATCCAAACAGTCCTTAGAGAAGGAAAACAACCTTTGCAGGCGTTGCTTCTCTCCTTGTTGTTTACTTGCAAAAACGGCCAAGGGGTGATGTTCCTAACTGTCCAGTGATGGTGATGTGCTGGTTTGATGACCCATGAAAGCTTTACCTTTTCAGACCTTCTCAGAACTGTCTATAAAAGAAGATCAGGAAGAATAAAAAGTGCTCTCTCTTTGTAACTAAGCTTGAGAGTCTGTGTCGTCACTTTGCTGTTCCTAATACAGTGTGAAAAAAGTACACAAAAGCTGAAGTCTTGCAAATACTTTTCTAGTGAGCAACTGAATTTGTTTTGGAGTGTACATGATGCAAGATCTCTTGCTAAAAATCACAATTTGGAAAAAGCCAGTAGCCTGACACCTTACAGAAAAGCATCAAGAGAAGTCAAATGAAGTTTGGCTAAAAAGAGTAATGAAGTATTTATTTCTTTACAGAAGTGGGGAAGGGTGTTGCCTAAAATCTGGTCCATGTTATGAGGATATGGGTTTATGAGATTTGCCTGAAATCATGAAACTCAAAATAACATTACTCTTTATTGTAAGAATAAAATCTCTAAACTGTAGCAGACTGAGAATAGATTGAATAACATGGGTGTAGAAGCCACTACACTAACAAGTCTAGCATGTTAATTCATTTATAACTATATAAAGATATAACTATATCTTCATTGAAACACAGACCATGCATTCTTTTCAAAGCTACAGAATCTAAGCACATGAAGCTTCCTAACCTAAGAGAGGTTACAGATAAGAAACTAAAATATAGATGATCTTTTGAACTGTCAATGCACCTTCAGCATCTGAAACCTCTTGTCTGCAGCATTTCTTTACAACAATTGCATGATCTATAACTATGTATTAAACTTCCAAGGAACCCTGTAAAACTAACAGTCATATCCATTCATATTTTCCATAAGCAATAAATTTTCAATGTATTTTCATGTTTTTCAATTCCGTGTTTGAAAGCTGGCAGTTAGTAGTTTTAAATTCCATAATGTGATTTTTCTTTCTTGAAATGGCTTTTTAGCTGAAGAATCAATTATTCCTCCTCCTTTTCCAAATCTTACTTTGGTTTAGCACAACAAATATACCTCAAGCCAAATATGAACTTTCCGTGAGCATCGACACAGATAAAAGAAGTTGCAGAAAAAGTCCTAAATTAAACTCTGCTCATATTAGTAAAACATTCAGAAATACTTTTCAAGCTATTTACTGATCTCTGATGCAAACATGATAGAAACAAAAATATATACATCCAGGCTGCCTCTTCCAAGTAAAGTGAGATGATAAGAGATAAGGGGGATCATAAGCTTGTCTGTGTTGTGTTTCTGGTTGCCCCATTCACTTCCTTAAGATTCCTTGAAAATAATTTTCCCCATCCTCCCCCTTGTAAAGTTGGGAATAATGCTAATAGCTTAAATAGCGTGTAAGGTTGATTGCTCACTCCCAGTGAGAGATGCTAAACATACATTACACATAATCATAGAACTCCAGAGATCACCTGGTACCACTGCCTTGCTCAGAGCAGTGTCTTAAAACAATATGGTAAATAATAGTCTGAGATTGCCCTTTTTTTCCCCCTCATAACTAAGCACTGCCATTTTAACAGAACTTCATGGCAATTTTATGGCCTTCTTAAGCATTTCAAGGGTCTCCTGTGATTCTATTCCCTCATATGTTTTATTATAGCAATGGAATAGGACACAGTTGAAAAGAATTCAATAGGTGGCACCAGAACACTAAAAAATCCTCTCAAAAAGAAAAGCCAATGCATTTCCCCATGAAACCTTTTTGAGAGATTTTGAATAAAATGAAGGAAAATTGAGAAAGATCCAAATGCACCAGACTCTGTTGCTCTGAGATTAATAGGTATATTGATTCTATTAATTTATTTTTAATTTATTAAAAAATGTCCCAGTGTTAACACATCTCTGAGCTAACTTCAGGCTAAGTTAACCTCAAAGACAAAACTGTCTGCTCATATTTATATTCTAAAACCTAACTCTAGAAACTTGAACACTGAAATCCAAAAATATCTTCAAAATGTAATGAGGATGTCCAATCCCCCAAACACAGGCTGTGCAGTATGAAAGCTTGATGATTGACAAAGTAAGCAAGTCAGTCCAAGTTTAAATGGAAGCTATCCCAAAACTTTTCCCAAAGCTTAAACTGCATCCAACCGTAAGACATTCTTAAGATGGTATGTATTGGATAACAAGGATAAGATCAGATAACCCAAGTGGAAGAATTAGAGCATAGAAAAAGTTCCTACTACTGCAGTTTTTTAAGCTTCCCTCTCCCTTCTCTTGATTTGGCCACCAGTTGGTTCCTGCTGACTTACCTAAAAGACTTCAGACTCATCAGTAATGTTTGAGCAGATCTGGCCTTAATCACATGCCCTGAAAAATGAAATAACCAGCAGCTCATCCCAAGGGCAAATGGGAGCCTGGCTAATCACTTTCATTCGCATTCCTACCAGCTGGCAGACAGAATGCTGCTTCAAGGAAAGGTTTGAGATGGAATGACAGGCTGCCAACAAAATACACCCAGAACAAATGAGTTGGCCACTCTTTCTCCTGAAAGCCTAAAGATGTACTGGCCCTGGGAGTGAAACATGGAAGTACTGCATTATGAAGTACTTTCAATGTTCAACAAGAAGAGCAAAGAGAAAAATTGTAAAAGAATCCAGGCCACCAAAAAGAAGCCAACCTCTCAAACCCCCAGGACAGCAGGCTGGGTGACATCTGGAGGTACAGGAGCTGCTGCATCACCTCTGCAGTACTGACTCTGCACTCACTGTGCAGAGTGGTTGCACCTATATAAGAAGTCCAGTTGTATAAGGAGACAGCATTTTGTATCACTGTCGGACACAAAATTATTCACACAGACACAGCTCGAAGTGAGATGAAAGAAGAAGGAAGTTTATTTGTTCTTTCGGTATTTTTAGGTTTTTGACAATGACCAGGGATTGGATAGTCAGGTTACCACCTTCCCAACCACACTGGCTGTGAGAGACATCCATCAAAAGGCATATCTTTAATGGAATGTATAAACACCTATGTTTATAGTTACTTTCCTGGGAAAGTGGCTAGAAATTATGAGAACAATATTGAAAGGCCTGATTCTCAGGGCGACACATTTTGCTGTCTTATGAAAATGTTTTCACTTGGTAGGACCAAGCAATTCAACTGAAGACAACTGGGACCTAGAATGTGTCAAAAGCAGCAGGAAGTGCCAGAACACATTTCCTGTGTCCATGTGCTATTAATAACACAAACTCCAGCCGGTAAGATGGAGATCCTGTTGAATCAGCATTAAGAGCCAAAAAATGTCACCATGTTAGTAGGGGCAGAAATCCATTAGCTGATGACAGGGAACATGCCTTTTAATTCCATTCTGCTGCTCAATTTGCACAGTGAGTAAAATAGACCTGGTTTTGTGTTTCCTGCTGGACTGGCCAGGAGGCTACACTTGCACGGCAGCAGCTCAGGCTGTCTGCTCTGAACACAGGTTTGCTGCAGGACTGCATTCCTCCATCCACACAGCACAGAGCATGTGGGAAGGATGCCTCTTCTGCTAATAGTGCATTTGGTGTTTTATCTAGCACGGTACCATACCAGCTGGCTCTTCACATCCAGCTGTACTCGCATCTTTGCCAGAGCTTGGAGGGGGCAGAGGAAGTAATCCTTCCTCTCAGCCTCATGTCTGTAAAACAGTTGGCAGCCGGGTTTTGCTGCCAGGAAAAATGCTTAGTGACTCTGCAGAGCTGTTGTCCTTCTCCCAGGATCTCTTCAGCCTTTAGGATATTGGACAGACCCCCAGCAACCACAACCAGGCAGTATTTTACACCAAGCAACTAATGTAGGTCCACATTCTGCCTTCCCTCTTTTCACAGCTGAACAGCACTGCTTCAGCAGGGTCAGGGCTCTTCACATCTGCACAGAAAGCAACAGGATGTGGTCTACTTGTTCAGATGGAGTAAGGCTCTTTGAGGGGGTCTCCTAGCAAAC